TGCCATCAGTGAGGGTGACCATCTTCTCATGATGGCAATGACGCCCAGCAATTGAAATTGCAATGATTCCAGTACAACATGCCATCTGATGCTGGGACTCATTCAACTTACAACATGGAAGCCTAAACCTAACCTCAAACCTGGACTCAACGCCGCAACGCCCACGCCGTAAACCCTGAACCCCTGAACTCCACACGCTAGACCCATCTGCCCTATCCGCTGCTTCTCCATCCCCTTACCGTTGATTGAGGCAGTCGGGGAGTAAATGCCAATATGATTCCAGGCGAACGTGTGCCGTAATCTCTGCAGGACGCTCGTGTCTCCGCTTTACAGCTATTTTGAAGAAACGCCTAGATGAAATCCCTAAACAGTGATTCCGGAACCCTGAAAAGAAGTTTCTTGGCATCGGGCGTGGATTACAAGCAGCGGTGCGGCTTGAAGTTCTGCCTCCCACTGAGTTCTTTGGGTTGCCGCCCTCATATTAGATACTTCCTGTGATGATATTCGAAGAGAGGAAGGAATGCTGGATGTTAGCGGCCGGGGGTGGTTTATGGAGGAGTCAGAACTCCCCCCTCCACCTATTATCAAACACACCAACCCCCTTGATAATTACGTACTCACCCTTACGGTATTACGATACCAGGTACAATTTTTATCTATCGTCTGCCTAGATGGAAACCTCAGTCATACACTCACCAGTCTTCTTGGGGAACCCTGTGTGCACTGAACGAAAACCCACAATGAAGGCATGCCTCTTCTAAGACTGGCAAATACTTAATAAGCCGGCGTGGGTATCTTTTGAGAATCGGGGTGGCATTCGCGGGGAATGAAGGAACTGGCTATTGAGATTCTAAAAGGGATCAAACAGATTCTGCCAGGAGCAATGCAAGCACTAACAAGAGAGAGATGGGAAGTCGAGAAAGGGCTTCGAAGCTTCATTTCTCGTTCTTCGATTTAGGATCCTGAGTTAAAAAGGTAAACAGCTTTGAGGTTAGGTTCGGGTTCAGCAAAAGCAGGCTTGCACGGACTTTCTGCTTTCTGGGTGAGCCAGTCTTATGTGAGCCCAAACAAGGAATGAGGATTCAGATTCATGTAGTGTGTGAACTTATTCAGAACATATGCTCAGAATTGTTTTGCCTACAACCGACCTCGATCGTAAGCTCTTGAACTTTAAGCCATGTGCATTCTAAGTCATTGAACATTGCTGAGTGGCCCTTTGTTCCATGTTGGCTTACGGTACCAGGCTTCGAAAGCAACCCGGGCATGTATTCCAACATGAGGTGAGCCAGGTAAGCAGTGCTCCCCTTCTAGGCATCCCCGAAACGGAGCCTTATGTTTGAGAATATCCAAAGGATACACCTGAAAATCGAAGCCTTTGTAAAATTTGACCTCGAAAACTCAAACTTTGATCCTCAACCCGAGTCCCTGAGTGTTACTAAACCCTGGCCGCCTTCTCAACCCCAAACCCTACATCAAAATCCTCAACCCAACAGTAGTTGAAAAAGCTGCAGGACCTGAGGTATATGATAATTAGCTTTGGAATCATGGCACTCTGCTATACTAAGAGCATGCAGGGTTTGTGGCATCGATTCCTCGGCCAAGCCCCTACGAAGGACTATATTAATCCCGGGTTCCATACGATTTCCCATTTGCTTCTCCATTTGATTCTCCACCATCGTACCCCTGTATACCCCTATAAACCCGTATAGTCTCCATGTACTTTCCTTTCTCTGTTTAAATTTAAGCCCTCCCTCAGTGAAGCCTAAGCCCTTTACTTACTGGCGGTTAGTAGGGAATAAGGGAACATCATCCCTACATATATATATATATATACATATTTGTACGTAAAAACCCATGCCTGATTATTCCCTACTAGCCACCAATAAGTTTATCAACCCAGCGTTCCAGCTACCTCGCTGACTGAGGACTCCTCGGATTTGGCTTCATCAGCGCCGCCTGATGCAAGGCTGAAAGCATGGGCCCTGCTATGGGACTCTAGGGATAAGGGTTTGGGGTTGGGAGTTTATGGTCCCCCGTAAGTAGCTAGAATATGGCTTTGGGTATGTTATAATAAGATTCCCATACACCCCATATTCCATCTACTTAAAGCGGACTATAGGGTTGAGGGTTTTGGTTGAGACTGACGGTTGAGGGTGTGTGGTTCCAGGATGTGGGAGTGCCGGGCTAGACGTCAAGTTGTAGAGGCGCAGGGTTAGGAATGACGATGTCTACAGGAGCCTCTGCCCTCCCATAATTTCATCAAGACTTGCCGCTGCGCAGGTTCGGATTTAGGGCTTAAGTCTTCAACAAAACTTGTTAGAATGGAGCACCAGTCTTGAAGGGAACACGGAGCCCTTTCAACTGAGATCCTCAGCCCAAGAAGTTTTCCGCAGGGCCTTCCAAGGCGATGCGCTGCAGAAGCGAAGACTCCTCGCCTATGGCGTGGGGTTGATGTTGCTTTAGGTTAAGCTAAGCCTCCTTACATGGGCCTTATGGATTTCTATAGTGTAATGGTTTTTGGTGCTTAGGAATTCAGTGTCGTATGCTATGGTTGTAGAGATTACGGCTTGGAGTGTAGAGGGAATGGGGTGTTACGGTTTAAGGCTTAGGGTCTTGACCGCTCAAGGTTAAGAAATTCTCAAGGCACTACCATGCGCACCCTAGGGACAAATGGGATTCTGCTGGGACTCCGCTGCATTGGTCCATAAGGTTTCACTAGGCTGAAGGACTTCATCATCCCCAATCCCGCATCCCGAAGGTCTAAATCCTAATCCATTTGGGAGTGCCGAGGGTAAAGCCCTGCGTTACAAAAGTAGAGTGGCAGGTAGACGTGCGCCTTGCCAAGATACTTGTTTTGGCACAGTAAACATCCCTACTTCTCTTGCAAAACGCCGCAGGCAGAGGCCAGGAGATTGAAGTAGAGGCCAAAATTCAGAATCAAATTGAAAAGACAACGGACAATCAAATGATCACTGGAATGGTATAAGGGTAGTATTTAAAGGTATTCAAAAGCCCTTCAACACCCTAAACCCTAAAACGCATACAGAGCTGTAAAAAAGATCGTCTCCATCCAAACCCAGCTGAGGCCTTCTGTTCATGCGCCCTTCAGCCAAGAGTACTTCAGAAGCCTCTCAAGCCAGCAAAACACACTAACCTGTGACACCACAATACCTGTCCGGCGTTGAAATTGCGCACGCCGCGCCCAAATTGTGAGCAAGCCTGCATAGATTCCATATGATCTTAGAATGACGGCTCATGACCTCGACCCCTAATTACCGCCTATGTTTCATGTTTCAAAGGGACCTTTTTCGCCATAAAACCGAACATTTTTGACGACCACAAATCTCTACGTCCAATGCTTGCTTGAAGCTACCCTAGCCCTGAGCGGCTTAAACCCCAAAGCCAGAGACCACGTTGAACTCTCTAGCCTCTACTCCAGGACGTAAAGCATTGAGCCATATACCACAACAGAAGGATGTTGCACAAAGTTGGTAGCATTTTGCTAGAGATTCTCCCGGCCTCGACAAAGACTGTACCCCCAAACTCTTTCGCCCCAAACCTGCAAGGCTGGACCTTAAGCCCCGAGCCCTGAAACAAAAAACGCAGGACCGTGTCTAGTTCATCAAAGTTGCAGCTTTGCGAGGCAGAGGCCACCACCACAGCAAGGGTCGCAAGCACGGAGTACATGGCCTCGTGAGTCTCTACATTTACAAACATGTCTATATGTACATCTGTAGAAAGGCCAGGGGTTTACTGGAGCCCCTAAAGCCCCTTAAGGTCGGTAAAGGGAAGTGTGTGTGCGTGTCTGTGTATATATGTACACACAGATATAATATATTACTTTATATACACAGTCATATACACCAAGGGGATAAAGAGACCCGATTTGGGGAGCATGGTTTAGGGTATAGCCACGAATCACGGGCTTCCAAAACAGGGCTAGCGGCTAGCCTAGGGCCGTAAGGTCCGCAGTTTGGGTTTGGGTTGCAGGCTTGGGGCTTAGCGCTTTGGGACTGATGTTTTGGCCTTGGGATTCACATATTTCTAGGAATCGATGAGAGATTGATCATATAGGACTGAGACAACACTTCTGGCGTTGCACCGACAAGTTCCAAGTACAGCTATGCTTTCGATGGTGCTGTACTTCTTTGTAGCTTTGCACTTCTCGCTGTTCTCTTTGCTACTTCTATGAATGCTGCTACCGTTCTGTATGGCAAGGACCATACCCCAACCTTCACGGTTGACCAGCAGAGCAAACACAAAGACAAACAGAAGTATGAGAAAAGCCAGATGCTGGATCGCAAGCCCAAAAAAAAGGCAAAAGAATGCCTAAACCCCCTCCAAACTAGCACGCAACCCCAAACAGGTCCTACAAAAACCTCAGTCGAGTTCAAGTGGTCGTGTTTTTTGGGGGTTTAATCTGGTGCAGGGCCCCGGCGTCGGAAGATGAGCCTCCAGCTGCGTATGGATGTGCGGTCTCTGAGAGCTTCGCGGCAGCATTGGCAGAGCATATAAAAGGTACCAGGAATGTCTACAGATATATCGAGCGGTGCATACATGTGTATGTGGTTGCATTTTTCTCCAGAGGTTGAGGTCCAGGCCTTGACGCTTAGCACTCGAGACTTTGGGATTGGAAGTCTAAACGCTACGGGTAAACACTTTTGGCTTTGAAGGTCTTACGGCTTCACGAGTTCGATAGACTGACTGAGGATGTCGAAAAGTGAAGCAGCAACGGCGGCCGCGATAGTCTCTGCTGCCTGTGGATGACATCCTGCATCACTTTACGTTAAACTGAGGGAATACACATTTCTGCCTGGCAAATCAATGCTCAACCGGCCTGAAACTGGAGGTTACGCTTTAATTGTACCCTAGACTTGCTGGCGGCTAGCAGGGAATGAACGATGAACAAAATCCGAACCCCATGAGCACCAAACTTTGGTCCCATAAACTCTAGACTCTAGACTGTAGACCCCTAAACAAAAGGACTCCGCGCATTTTTCAGCCATCCACTCCAGCTTCTGCCGGCACAAATCCGCAAACCTGGGGCAGCTCCGAATGAGAAAGGATCCCAAACATCTACGGTCCAGTCTAAACTGTGGAAAACAGCGACGCGACTGTCCAAATTGTGATGCAACAAAATCTTAAGTAAGGCCATAGCCATTCACTCGTTACGGGGAGTATATCGGGACCATCATGGGGACTAGATAGGCACCACTCTAGCTATGGGGCTTATGTCGGGAATATTTTCCTGGTGCTTCGTGGGTACTTGAAGCTTCAAGGCCCCTTATCACAACGACAAGGCTCAGGTATGGAGGTTCCTCTGAAAGTGCTTTGATGTTTCCAAATATCAAGGGTCCCTTTTGGTGTGTACCAATAGGGATTGACACATTCCGGATGATTTTGGGGTCTGTTTTTCTGGAAGCTACGAGTCTTCACCAGTATAGCCAGGGTGACGGACTGAGGTGCAAAAACTCTTGAAAACCGTTCCGAGCTACACTGTGAGACTCACCTACTGGTTGTTAGTAGGGAAAGAAGGTTCGGGATGTAGGGACTAGTTTGATTACTCGGACTTCTATGAGGATACATTCCTCCATTCCCTCTAGACACCACGAGGAGCGACTCTTGAACTCAAGGACACCTCCGGGGTGGGTGTTTAGGGGTTAGATGTTTGGATCAAGGTTTAGGGATGAGGAATTGAGGTCCATGTTCACGGATAATGTCATGTGGACGCTTGCGGAGTGTGCACCTCTCCATATGATGTTCATATTAAGTTCTTGTAACGGCAATGGGTTTGGATGTGGTGCACATAGGCTTCTTCATGGTAAACACGTTCTGAACAATGGATGAACCCCAATCCCTAAATCATCCCTATACCCTGAAGCTAAATCCTGATCCCAAAAAAGCTAGCCCCGATCCCAAAATACCTATCCGCAATCCGTCTACTATAGTACACGTAAAACCCTCAAGCCCAATTCGACCCCCGTCCCCAAGCCTTGATCACTAACCAACATGAGATGGCTATTTCTGCCAAGCTTCGGCTGGGTTAGGCCACACTCCTGCAATACAACAACTAAGGGTGTAGCAAGTGCGACTTTGAGTTTAGTGCTTTGGGTTGAGAGATTAGGGTTTTGGGTTAGGCCAGACTCCTGAAGTCTCAGAGCTATGAGGGTTTGGGTTTGGCTTGAAACCAGCCAGCGCTTCCGCCTGTATCAAAATTGGTCTGGACGGAGGCTTCTGCGGTTTACAGTTTAGAGCTTACGGTTCGAAGTGAGGGTTTTGTGTTCAGGTTTTTCCTACAGGAATCAGGGCTTGCAGCATATGCTTGGGAAATCATAGCGTTTAGGAGTCTGGCAACCTTTATGTTCTAAAAATCAAGTGCGTTGGGTTTCGGGCTCAGAGGTTTGGAATTTTTACCTATGCTCTAGGGTTTAAGGCTCAGGGTTTAAGGCTCAGGGCTTCACTAGAGATAGGAATGTAGGTTGTATGTGTCTGTGAGTTCAGTGGTTGCGGTTCAGTCACGTTAACGGCCGTTGTCGAAAAGCTTTGTCTGTTATACAAAGGGAAGAAGAAGATGTGGTAGCGCCAGGAGGAGAGCAAAGGCAACGTACGCCTTTGGGAAAGTACAAGACTAATGATGAGAGGCTATTGTTGAATGCAGCAATACACACGTCATCTTCCTAGAAGTATGGACTGAATAAGGGTAAGAAGGTGCGTACACTACATATAACCCAAACAAGCGGGAACTGCGAAATCTACAAGAACTAATCTGAAAACCCCAACAAACCTGCAAACCCCAATTGCAAACATTTAGCACTAAACTGACGGCAACGAGCATGTCTCAAAACCCCGCAACCCTGTCCTGCAATGCCCTGCGGTGTGGTAAAAGAATTTGCACGCACCCGTTTTGAGACACACACACACACACATGCTTGCGCATCCATCCACAGCCGTGAGGCTGTTGTTGTTTACCAAGCACAACTTGGTGTAGGAGGCATCAGGCCTTACAAAGGGTTCATTGGGGCAAGGCTGACAGGACTGCGCCTCCCATCCCGCATCCACCAGACTCTAACACTTAAAAGCAAAACGCCCCTGAATCCTCATCTCCAACCTAGACCCTCCCTTTCCGCCGTTACGAGAGCAGTCTCCTGGAGGATGGTAAGCGATTCTTTGAAGTGCTTCTCGGCATGCCTCAACTAGAAGGTATATGGCAAGGGTCTCGGGGTTGCTGTTGAGGGGTGTGTGAGTCTAGGGATTTATGAGTTCCAGGCAGGGCTGAGAGGTTTAGGGCTGCTTTGTGCTGCCTCAAAATCAGTGAACAGGTATTTGCACTCGGAGGTGCCGCGGCATGTGGGTGATTCGACCTGCTTTATGAAGGTTGTTACAGGTCCGTGCGGTCTGCGCTTACATGTATACAGGGCAGCTTGTGAGAAAGTACCCGCTGGAAGATTCCGGAGCAAGAATGCTAAAAGCTCAAGCCAATTACTAAAATTTCTAGACTCTCCAAGGAGGGTGCACTGGTCGTGGGCTAGTCCAACGCCTGGATTGATGTCGCTTCTTTCTGAGTTTTCGGTGGAAATAGAAGATAGGTGAGCCATCACGCGAGACAAAACGAGACAACAAGAAATAAAACCAGGCGCCATAAGTGCCTTTCTAAACCTCTGAATCTCAAACCCTAAGCCCATGAACCCGAAACCCAGGGCATACAGGCAAGATGCTCCCAGTGCATCTCCTCCCCAGTGGTGCGCCCTTGCCTCACATAAAAGATTCGATGGGACAAGGACTAAGTGACTAAATGGAGACCACATAAGGGATATGTGCAGGTGATATGGTGATGTTGGGATTCCATATGGACCATGCAGTGGATGCGTCATAATTTTGGTTTATAGGGACCATATTTAGGAATGACTCCAGATGATCTAGGGATTCCATAGGAACCAGACAGTGGCTACATAGTTGCTTTGTTTGCAGGGCTTCTGTAGGGACAATGGTGAGGTTGCACAGCTTACGGGCAGACACAAGCGGAATATCCCGAATTTCCCCTAACCTGACCCATTAAGTAATAATGAGGGAATGGCCACAACGCACTCGCGGCTCCCGAGAGACGCATCTTGGGACTCAGAGTTCTACTTGGAGGTTCAGGTTGTTGGCGTAGGATTGAGGGGTTAGGATGGGATTCAAGTGATTACAGGGGGTGGGGGTTCGGGTAGTCATAGCACGGGCAAGCAGTGGGATATCTGGATAATGAATCCCCAAATGGTCCTACCTCAAAAGCTCCGTTTCCAAGGTCGGCTCCTGCACTTACAAAAATGGGGACATGGGACAGCTGAACCCTTAAAGGATTCAACAGCCCATGGACTTTCCTTAGCATCTACTCGCATCAGCACAGGCAGGCGCACCACGTCTAGGATAATCTTGGGTTCAGGGCTTCAGGCTGCAGTTATGAGCCTTGCCCCTTCAGCGTTCAGCGTCATGGGTTGCGCGTCTATGTCATCTGCGTGAAAGCCGCTTCTCGTTGTTCTTGGAAATGAAAAGCTGGAAGAGATGCTGGAATCTGTGATAGTAGTTAGGATTCCTTAGATTCTTCAAGAGCTTCATCGTTGCTGCAAACCTACCAACATCATGCAAGATACCATCGACCTATACCATATACAACGAATCTAATCTAAAGCCATCATATTAGTAAAAGTTTGGACCACTGTATTGGGCAAGCTGCTTCAGGCGCATGGATCCCAAATTGTAGAGGCGCCGCGCGTTCATCGGCGTCTGAAGGGTCGCTGTCAACTTGGCTAGTATTGGGTGGCTGTTTTTGCTGGATCATGGCTGACAGGTGCATGAAGAATTAGAGTCCGTTCTAGCTGGCTAATGATGATCTATTCAAGGCCGCGATAGACATGAAACTTTACGGTCATGCTCTGTCTTGAGCTTTCGGACTTAGGCGGAAACTCAACGTTGCTGACAAGGATAAGTAAGGCCTAAAGCGGATGCTTAGGGCTACAAGTACCCCGTATTATGTGATCCTGGACCCTCAGAATTAACCCCACCCCTCTTACACAGATTTGGTGTAGTTGTCAGACTTCACACAGGCTGGACCCTTCCCCCAACCAACTATGAAACCTGACGATATGATTCCATAGAAGCTTGGGACGGGGTACCTGTGAGGTTGTATTAATGAGGAGAGATCGAGATCATGCTTGCACGGCTGGTAAGTATGCCTATGGCAATTAATCAACTACATCCTGGTCCCTGGGACCTGGAGGTCAGTTAACATGTGCGCCTAGAGAAATGGAAAATGCTATATAGTAGCTTCCATTTTGTTTTTCATTATCCCTATATAACCCCAGCATACTATATATGGGGGTTATATGGGATCACAGAAAATGGACACTACTTAGTGGAACACATTTTGTGGCATGCCCACTTGGCCGCTTCTGAAGATTACAGGTTCCTGCTTGGTCCTTCGGGATGATGGTAGTCTTTGGGTATACAGCCCAATCCTGAGAAATACCCATGAGCTCTGTTGACCCTAACACCCTCAACACGGAATCTCAAAGACCCACACTCTGAACTCTGAACCCTGAACTTGAGCCCCTGACACTGACCCCCAAAACCTGCTTTCACTCTATACAGTCTGCGCCCTAAACTCAACAACTCGAGCCCTCATCAATCATAACGCTCGTAAGCGTTCGTCCCGAATCCTACACCCAAGCCGTCGAAGACACTAAACTTTTGTAAGCTTCCTAAAACCTATGAGGCCAACTTGTCTTTCCTAATACCGAATCCTCGTGAACCCTAATCTCCAGCTGCGCGGCTTCTCGGATACGCCCGGCGGACTCAAACATCCTCAGATCTTCAAAGCTTTGGACATGCGGGACCCCATCTCATCTGCCTTGTTAGCCTATTCAGGAACAAAGATATTCCGAAGGTACATACTGGGTGAAGGGCCCAGGATTTGGGACAGGCTTGCCCCAACAGTCTTAGAGCTTGGCCTGTGGTGCATACAGGACATGAAATTTGGGATTTTTAGGATTTTAGGGTCTGAGGCTTAGGGCCTAGGAATGAAGATTCAAGGCACATCACCTAGAATTTAGGGATGAGGGCTTGGGATGTAGGACTTGGATGTTGGATTCAGGACTGAAGGAAGGAGGGGAAGTGATTGGAGCGCAAAAGGTACGCCATCCACGGAATTTTGCTGACCAGGCCCCTACACCCCCAAATCCTCAGTTCTAGGGCCTAAGCTGAGCCCGTGGACAAAATCTAGGCTCCAGGCTGTCGGCTTTTGAAGCTTGATTGGATGCTGTGTGTATGCAAGGTTGAAGCCATGAGGGTCCGAACTCTGAAACTTCTCCAAGGAGCCCAAATGCGAAAACTGATCAGGTGGAAGTTTCTGGAAACCATCTTTGCAGAACCCCTACATACCCTAGAACCCCTCGATCCTCCACGAGCCCATATGTCTTAGTATCTCTAACAGCCCCGAACTTTTCAGAAACCACCTAGTCTCCAAAACCTTACTCCCTACACTTTTTAAACACTATACCCTCTTTCTCGTAAATGCATATTATATATACATGTGAAGACATAAACATATGGGCACAGGGACACCTCTCGGCATGTATTCCCTTTACGGGCACCTCAAGGCTCCCTATCTTAATTAGTAGTTTCCATGTTCTTTTCCATCTTCCCAATATAACCCTATATACTACAGTAGTTTCCATTTTAGTTTCCATTATCCCAATATGACCCCTTGAGACATTGGCCCAGGCTCCGGGCGGACGTGGCGAAGTCGGATCGCAGCGAGTGGACCAGGCCGAGGTTGTTGTAAAGCTTTGCACCATCTTCGGTCTCCTTCTTCAGGTATCTATGCTCTATATATACATATGTATACATACATATATATATATACTGCCGATATCTAGATATGTGCCCTGCGGTTATATCTATGTACCGGCAACTTGAATGTCTCTAGATGTATAATGTATGTGTATATCAACCATGAGCACAAACCCAAGATCAAGCTAGCTGAGGGATTGGGGCTTTGACTGGTTGCTGTTGAGGAATTTAAATTAAGTTTCCATACTGGGAGTATATATATATATATGTATAGTATTTAATATAATTTGATGATTTAGATTAAATTCCACCCAGTTGTCCTCCAAGCCCTTCTTCTGGAGGATCTCCAGGGAAGCCTGGTAGTCCTGGCAGGCCTGCCTTGAGGATGAGTTGGAAATGAGGTTTAGGGTTCAGGCTTTTGGGGTTGAGGGTTTTGAGGGTTTTGGGTTGTAGGGTGTTGAGGGTTTTAGGGCTTAGAGTATTGAGGGTTAAGGGTTGTAGAGCTTCAGGGCCTATACATATAGAGTTTAGATCGGGATGTTTTGGGCGGGTGCTCAGCGAATTTTGCCTGTGTTGTGCATTCTGCTGTTGCCCGATTCAATTGGCATTTACCTGGGCTTGAGACTTAAAGGGTTTGGGGCTTAGGGATAAGGCCCTGATCATGGGAGCATAGGACTGTTGGAGTTTAGGGATAAGGGTTAGGGGCTCGGAATTGGGTTAAGGGTTTATAGGGAATAGGGTTGGGGGTCATCTTGATTTCAGGCAAAGAACATGACAAATCGAATAAGGTTGTGGGGTTTGGCTTTGCCTGTACCCTGGACGTCCTTCCTTTCTGGGGGTTCCGTGCTACTGTTTTGCGTGGAGCGTCAAGATTTAGGGATTTGGGATCAGGGCTTGGGGCCTCATTAGGGATTTCAGATGCAGGTCAAGGTTTTTGCAGGAACCAGGGAGAGAATTTCTTGAAGCTCACACGGGTTGATGCCGCTTAACGAACCCCCAGTTCATGTTGCCAGAACATGCAGCTCACTAGAGCAAAGGTTAAATCAACCGCAAGTATGCTGAGGGGCAAGGGCCCGCAATTGAGATATCCCCCCGGTGTGGTGTGAGCTTTAGGCTGACACCTGGTGAGCATGGCAAGGCTCAAGGATTTGTTTTGGGGAAGGACTAGTAAGGGCGTGTAGTATAGGGCTTCATATTTGCTGCACGGGTCTTGCTGGGAATGGCAGAGCTAGCGGTACACCCTCCCTCCTGTCGCTCCCCAACCGCATGCCGCAAATCCGGGAAACCACTAAGAAGGACGCAGATCCTGAAGCCTATACAGCAGGAGGTGGTCAAAACAATGATCCCATGTTGGGTCCCCAATGCGAAATGGCCGCTCATGTAGCGGGTGCCGCCAAAAGTGACGACAATTTTTACAACCCTCGCTATTCATGCTGAGGATGGACATGGCTTTTGAAATTCAAGAAGGATGCAATCCCAAACCGCTGACTACCTCAAGCGGGGAAGGTAGTTGCTGACAAAATCTCTTGCTGTACTGTCTGTCGACCAAGCAGGTCCATCAGCCCTAAGTAGTGTGATCCCCTTCACATTCCCTACTTGGTGGCTAAAACAAGTCCCTACACTCAGGGTTCCTTTCTTTAGCTGCCCCCGAATCATTGAGGGGGAGCCCAAGCTGGGCAGCACAATAGTGTTGAGGAGTCCATATGGGCCATAGTCTAAACTCCTAGTATCCCCCTGAACAAACCGTGTACCACTCACCTATATAATCCTCCATATAAGCATTCTTAAGGAATGTAGAGTATAGCCATATATTTAATAAACCCTGATTGACTGCAGGAAGGCCATGTCCTTGACTAGCGTACTCTTGTATGCTATACCTTAGGTGGACACCCCTCCCTGAAACAGTGCCTGTAAGGGATAGTGGTGATGATATTAGGGTCCTATTGCAGTCCCCTTCCACCGCTATTACAGGGTGAGGCGTCCTCAGTTATACCGCTCTACCCTTGCTTACAAAGACCCTTCAAGACAGTTGCCATCGTCTCAAGAAATCACCAAGACCTCAACCCAAAAAAAAACAAAACCTTAAACGCGAAACCACGAGCTAGAAGGCTTCACACAAGCACTCTTAATCCTGAACGCTTAACCATACATGCAGAATGGCCCTACCATGTGGGAGCTTCTCAAAAATAAAGCCTGTAGAAGTCGTGATGAGGACCCTCATACATGCATATATATATATACACACACTCTCTCTTTAGAGTCCCTAGGGGCTATGCTTTTTTGAGGAACCCAAACCCTAGTCCCTGAACTGAACCCCAAACCTTTAATTGTCCTTAAACTTTCCTAAACTATAATCCCGGAACCCAAACCCTACTCCAAAGACCCGATGCATTCCTGTAGCCCCTTTGCAGGGACCTAATCTGTCTATGTGCCGCCGGATGACTCGAGGCTAGCTGGAGGTGGTGCTTCAGAGACGAACAGCTCGTCCGCCTCATCCCCGATCATGGCCTCAGCAGGCTTGCCGCGCTGGTCAGCAATGATATCTTATAGGAATACCGAACACTTCATGTCTTGGGGAGCAGAGTCTAGGGATAGACTGTAGATTCCCAGGATTTCGATTTGGGAGATAATTCCTTGTAGTTCTCTGCTAACGGGGATCATGTCTGCCAATGGCTTGGGATTGTCTTGAACCCGGGGTCGTTGTAGGGTCCCTGTTATATGGCCTGCATGATTTTCAGAGCAGATGGCATAATTAGCAGGGAGCCCAAGCAGTAAACAAGAAACACAAACGTATCCATTTTGATGAAACCCTCAACCCTCAACATGGCCGCACCGCCCTGCGAGTCAGAGGTCCCTCTTTGAGAGTTCTCACTTAAAATATACCTGTTGGTCATAATACTGTTTTGGCCTAGCTTCTGCCCAGAAATGAGTGCAACCCTAGCATGGAGTTCTGTAGTCTTGGCTCATATCCCACCAGACCCTCCAAGGCTGCTGAGGTCCCCACAAACAAAACAGGAACTTGCATGGAAGAAGCGCATCCAGCAGCACTCCAAGAGTACCAAATGGCAAACGCAAGGCTTCCGTGTTGTTGTAGGGTTCGCAACTGTGCCAACCTTCCATCACGAAAGCCCCAATTAAGCCGAATCCACCACAGAATGATGTGTTTAGGATCCTTGTTTTCATGTGGCTGCCGGGGTCCCGGACAAACACGACATACACGGCCTGAAGCCCTAAGCCCTTAGAACCCTAAACCCCATACCAACTACATGCATCAAGCCACACGGGCGCGCCCTCTGTACAGTCTCGACCTGGAGGCCTCTGCAACACGTAGCGACGTAGTGTTTGAGGTCAAAGGGTCGATGCATTCTACCCCAGTAATGGGAATCAAACGAAAAAGGATGTGGAAACTAAACTGGATACTACGGCTAAGGATTTTTAATAAGGCCTAGTGAATAAGAAAGCTAGGAATTAGGGTTACTGCGCTGCTCTGGGCAAACTTCAAAGCGGTCGCAAAAGAGAGCCCGGATGAGCTTACGTTCCAGCTTGCGGGACGGAAAAGGATTTCTTGGGTGCAAGCGAGAAGGTGGGATGCAACAGTTACTTATCCCTACATCCATCTTGAACAGCCTCCTCCCCCCTCCCAATCAATATTCCCTGGCGCCGATATAGACAACCTAGTAGTTTGGGACACAGGCTCCATGCTTCGGTGGGCAGTTCTTTGATAGACTCTTCCAAGGTAGTCTTGCGGGTGCTTATCGGGGATGGAGGAGTTGATCCCTCTATGCCCGCAGATTCCATATCGGCGCCTCTGTTCGCATCCCTACTCTACCTCAGCAACAGTGAGTAGTTGTTCTTCCCAAAAACTGGGAGGGAGGGAGGGAGGGAGGGAGTATGTGATGTAGGGGCCTCACAAATTACCAATGCATTGGTACTTATCATGGTCCCTGGGGCATAGCACGGTTTAGGGGAGGGGAGGGCGCAGGGCTGAGCCCAGGTAGGGCTGAGGGCTTTGGGTCCTAGGGCCTAGCGTCTGAGGATCCTGTCTGAAGTCCGTGGAGACTATATGGGGAAGGTACCATCTCCCAAGCCAGCATGGAACCCCACAAGGGGCCTGCATAGATTACTGTTCTTTTAAAAGGGTGTTTTTTTTAAGGGTGCTCTATGGGGTTCCATGTTTGGGTGAGGGTAAATTTAAGAGAGGCGATGCGTAGGTTCTTTCGGGGATCCTGAATTCCAGGGGCAACCCGGAACTCTCCATCGTGGACACAAAGCCCTCAACTCTAACCTGCAGTCCCTAATCCGTACACCCCAACATCTCCAAACCTCACACACTGAAAACCTGAGCCATAAACTACCCCGACTCCTAATTCCTGAACACCTTGCACCCAAAGACCCTGCACCCTGGTGTGTACTTTTGTATACATGTACATACTCTGGAACCCCTATACCCCTGTCAAAAGGACCCTTAGATTTAGATGGCCCTCAACAATACCCAACAAATAAACCTTAGAACCGACGACCTGCACCGGAAATCTGAGCCCCAGACCCTAAAGCCCAAACCTAAAAACCCTGCACCCTATATCTGAACCCCAAACCCTGAATCTAACAACACCTGATTACAGTGTCACAGTCCCCACCGGTGCCGGCTCTTCCGGCGCCAGGTGGTCCAGTTCCTCCAAGCCTGGGCGTTGGAATTTTCTAGGGACTGAGGGGCCCATTTGTAGAAGTCCCCTACATTCGGCCCGAACTACAGGGTTTGCGAGGGCTCATGGGAGTAAACCTGGGGTTTCCGGCCTCGAGGTTCAGACTGCTGGAAGGCTTGATATGAAGACTTGTTGGTCCTCTAGGCAGTCTCCTGAAGAAAACACATACGATGCAGTAAAGACTATGAAAGAAATTGCGAACCCGAGGTTGGTGGATCTGAGCCTGATGTGTTGCAGGCTCTCTGGCTGGGGATTCTGAGTTCAGAGTTTTGGGCTCAGGCTTGAATTAGGCTTAGAGTCTCAACACGCTTAAGGCAAAGGATTCGGAAGGATCGCGGGCAGTAGATTCTTATTAGTACCTTTCATTGGAGTGCGCGTGGGATTATACTACCCGTACTGAAGTTGGGCTAGAAGCCCATGCTAGATCAAGGAAGGGTAGTTTCATTGCACCGCAAGCCTCCAAATAGACCAGCGAGAGCTTTTCTGAAAAGGAACTACATTGAAGGGTACAGGTAACCGGTCCATAGATCCAAATCTTCCTCCTCCTAGACCCTTACGCAAGATCCACAACCCTTCGAGAAAAAATGCGAACAACATGCCAAAGTAAACCTAGTAATCATCAAAAACGCTTACTTAATGCGGGAGTCATAACATGTCTTCGTTTACGCGAACTGCAATGATAACAACGACCAACACCACATCAGAGATTCTTACAAAGATCGGAAAAAGCAACTCCTGGCAACAGAGACACCCTTCGAGTAAAGGTCCACAGCATCGTCGCGTTGACCTGGCCGAGGTGAAGAGCCAAATTTCCGGATATGCGGGCAAATTCCCGGATTAGGAATTGGGCAGTTTGAGGGTGCACGTTGCATAAGGGCTCCGTCTTCATTACAAATGGCGGACTGTCCCCCACGTTAACCAGCCAGCTTGTTCACACTAACCTGCCATCCTCGATGAGATTTTGCAAAAGCTCTTGCCTACCTCTCATTGAAACCTGCGAGCTCCGTTTGCCCAATGAACCTACAGAATGAGCCCCACCACCATGTCACCTACAAGCCCCCAAAAGCCAATCTGAATCCCCAGGAAGCCCTGCAGAAGCCGCAGGGTCAGCGTATGTGGTCGCCCCGCGCCTCAAGCAAATCATCCATCTACCCAACCCTGACTAACGCGCGTGATTTTCCGCGGGAAGCTTCCCAGCCTCTTTTATGCTGGAGCCAAGCCTTTTCGTGCCAAAGGTCCTTGAAAAGGCAGTCCAAAGTACAGTTTTGGAGTGGGCATCACGACATGTCTTTGCCAGCAGGACCTTGGGGATTGATAGAAATCATGAGAGGATTCTTGAAGGTCTCCCTGGTGTTTTCTTTAAGGTTTGCTTGTCCTCGGAAGCTCTTAGGAAGACCATCTGGGTTCTTCAAGCAGAGTTTAGGAAGTAGTGGGGTCGTTTGCAACATGTCTTCTCATTCCGCTTGGAGGCCCCGGTCGTTGTCACTGAAAGCCACAACACGCAACTCTGAACCCTGACTGCAAGCCATATAATCGAACGCAATATGAAAAATCGCAGCAGTAAGCCAACTACTCCAACACACTGCAATCTTTGCAACTGTTACTACTTCACATCCAGGGAAGAACAGTTTGAGGATAGGAGCTGAACAAGGGACACACCTGAGGCATTGTTGCGAGGATTAGGAGTTATGAAGCAGGCAGGAACGCCCAGTTCCGTGTTAATGGTTCTGCAAATACGGCTGCATATTGAAAATACATGTTGTACCTATTCAGAATGAAGGAAATTCAACATCTTGAAAGCTCAAGCCCAACACGGTAAATGAACACATGGACTTCCAAGATTTCCCCAAAACAACCAGCAAATAAGCCAGTAACAACACTGCGGCCGGAGCTCCCCGACCACGTCAGCGAAGGCCGAGGCAGACGAGAAAGAGCTTGCAGACTGCCAGTCCAGCAGGGCGCCTACGCTTGACTTGCTGGCCATTAGTAGGGAGGATACTTACTTACGCCTGCATTTAGAGGTGGGCTTGGGGCTGAGAGTCGGAGTTCGTGCAGGGTTGAAAATTCAGTGATGGCTGTTTCGTGAGGCATGGCAGGGCTTAGCTCGTTGAAAGGGTTAAAGACGACTGTTCCTTTTGAAAGGCTGGATAAAGTCCATCTTAGTCAAGGGGATGAGACTTCGACCCATGATCTGAAGGATCTTATCGTCCAAGGCCCTCGTGTTGTATTCATGGTAACCACGAAAACTCATAAAGCAGCTCACACTATCCGAGACCCTAGAGCCCTCCCTAAACACTATATGCGTCGTGACCTCTTGAACTTATGCTCGCGGCAGAAGACGGTCCAAAATTGCATGAAGGCTATCCTTGACCCTGATAGCCAAACACCCAAGCGATTGAAGTAAACTGATCCTCGTCCAATAACAAATGCTAGACCCTACACCCCAGCTAAATCCTTGATCCTGAGCCCTAAGCCCCAAAAAACAAACTTAAGTCTCTAAAGTTCCCCCACCACTAAACAACCCTATCTTCTATAACCCCCATAAACCCCTAGAAAAAGATCCCTAAATCCAGTCTTCCTAAGCTGATCCTTCTTCTTTGGGGTGCCTTTGGCCGTCATGCCCAAGTTCAGAACCGAGGTTGCCTCCTCCAGGGCCTTGGACCGGAGAACTAGAAAATGGAAACCCTAGGGTTATATTGGGGTTTTGTTGGGGTTATATTGGGGTTATATTGGGGTTATATTAGGGTTATATTAGGGTTATATTGGGGTTATATTGGGGTTCTATTGGGGTTATATTGGGGTTCTATTGGGGTTATATTGGGGTTTAATATGTGAATAATGGAAAATAAAATGGAAACTACTATTTAGAGTTTAGGGTTTAAGGTTTAGGATGTAGACCCCTGATTTCATAAAGCCCCTCCCCTTGATAGGGATTATAATGAGGATCCGAATATGAATGCCCTTAAAAGGAGGGGGGTATATAGATTGCTTGTAGGGACTGGGGAATGGGGGTTATATAGGGGTATAATATTGGGGTTATATAGGGATAATGGAAAATCAAATGGAAACTGCTACACTAGAGGGGTTGTATAGAGGGGTTGTAGGTTAGCTAGGAATGAAGGAATGGAAAAGAAAATGGAAAATACTACAGTGGTTTGTATAGGGACCTTAGGGACTGGAGAGGTAGATGTGGGTTTGCACTTACAGGGTTTAGGGTGTGTAGAACTTAGGGGTTATCGATTTTCGGGTGATCCCTACGGAAGGCTTTGAGATGTTGTTGAAAAAAGTTAAGACAAGACATTGACAGCTGCTCAGGCTCCAAAGCGAGCGTAGCAGGGACAAATGTCAGGACCTCTGTCGTTGAGATGTTAAGGGACCCTGGTTTAAGGTCTGCAGGTTATGATTTGGGCTTTGGGTCTCGAGCTGTGGGGTCTTTGGAGGCTTCATGCTTGTTGCGCGCCCTTGTTGGGTACTGCTTTTTTGCCTGTCCCAGCACTCAAAGAAAAACAACCATGCCGCTGGGCCATGAAGGGTCGCCAGTCAAAAAGCCGCTTCCTCGTTAGGCTTGCACTGGGAATCTCGACTCTAGTCTTGAGCTCCTTAACCTTCAGAAGGTTGAACTCTACGAGAGTTATTGAAAACCCCTTAGGGGGCCCTGGGGATCAGTCTGGATGATAAAAGAAGTCAGGTTGCCTATAGGAAGCTCCAAACAAGTTCAGCTTGTAGATCTTTAGGTACGATTTGCACAGCGCACGTGACTCGGAGAATTGTATGAGCCTTGTACCAAGCTTTCTCTAGTCGCTGGTCCCTCCACAGCACCGCACCCCTGAATCTTGTCTTGAATGACAGCCTCATCCGATGCAGCAGCGAACGGCAACTCCTTCAGTTAAGCCGTCTTTTTGCCGAGGAACTGCTCTCCCAATCCCCCTTTGCGCCAGGCCCTGAACGTTAAGGCTTAGACCCCCTCAGCCACGTCACCAAGATCCACTTGCATACCCCTCAGGCCCTGAAGAAACCTTTCCATCCCTGTTTGTGTTGCAACGAATCAAGGAGGGTGCCAACTCTTTCATTGTAAAGGGGTCCTATTGTTTCCAAGAGGTGCAATATTGCAGGGACTGCGGAGAAGGGACGCATGTCGAGTCGGAGAGATGCCACAACCCCTAAACCAAAAATCGAACAACAACCCTAGACCCCCAACCCTGGACGACCTGCAATGCAACCTCCCACATGGTATTTCTGAAAAGAACCACCAAACAGATGCATAGGTGGTTCCTTTTGAGGACTGGGCCACACATTATGGATACGAATCCTTGTTGGATCTACTATAAGGAGGTGATTTACAAGCTATAGCCAACAATGACCCAAGTAGCCTTAAGAAATTGCCAAGTGCTGACAGAGATTCAGAGAACTTGCTGAGGAGCTTACCGACCTTCAGGGGGTGCAGCGGCTGGGGCTTAGAGTTTGGGAACCAAAAAGGGTTTGGGGTTGGAGGGTTTAGGGTATAGGGTTTTGGGCTGAAGCGCCTTCTGCCTTAAGCAACATGGATTTTCAAAAAGTTATAAAGAGCTTCAGGCAATAGCCCGGTCGAGACCCCATCCTCAATTTTGGGCAACCACTGTTCTGGAACCCGCCAGAAGGGGACTACCCCCTTCATGTGCTGCTGGACTACCAGCTTCAACCCAGAAATCAAGGTCTCCAACAAATTTCCCCAAAACCTGGACGGGTTTCCTCAAGTATCCTGTCAAGGTCTCATGAGCTGGAAGCATTTTGTCCAACCTCATCTTTTTGTGGGGCATCCATCAGCACGCGGGCTGAGGAGATGTAGTGCTGAGCTTGGGTCCTAAACCTTGAAGGGAATAGGTTTGAGTGGTTTGGCTGCCTGGGACGGCCATACAGTGGCAGCCTGTCACACAGCACAATGCGCTCGAAGACACTATGTGGCCTGACAATCTGTGCTTCAGCACCACGTCACAGCAAACCCTAAACCTTAGACCCTGCACCCTCCACCCTAACCCCATGGATACCTGGGCGCAAGCTTCGAGCATCTTCAGCGGTAGCTCCTTGCATGTCAGGCTCGAGGTTGCGAGCATGGAGTCTAGGGGCATCACGGGTATGTAGATCGGTGCATATCTACATGGGGACACGGAGCATGCAATCATGCAGGGCGCATGGAGGGAATCGTAGCATTTAGGGTTGAAGGCTAGGGGCTTGAAGCTTTGGTGAGCACTGAAGCTTTGGGGGGAGCAGGCAGAAGTTGCTCTTGTCTAAGATACTTAGGTCTAACAATCAGCATGCGATGGCTTGACTGTAACTAAAGCCTTTGGACTGGGTTAGGGGCTGAAGGGTCGAGAGTTAGGAGTGAGTGTGGCAAAGCAGCCCAAGCATCAGAGGTTGATCTCATACTGCTGTCCTTGAAGGGGGGGGGGGGGGTGATATGAGGGGCCATATTAGCTTGGGTCCATACATAATCCCTGAAATAGCATGCTGTTTGAGGTTACGTGCTATGACTGTCCAGACCTGGCTTTCGACGGGGCCTGCATGGCTCCACGCTCTACTCTTGTTTTGGGAAGGTAAGTCGTCCACCCTGAGCTCCGAACCTGTGAAATGGAAGAATCGTTTACACCCAAACGGTAAAGGCCGTTGCTAGAATCATGCAAGAGATCTAGATATGCATGTGTATATACATATATTGGAGGCATGTAGTCTGCTGAAGCTATCTACCGCAACCGAAAAATAGCTCAGGAATGTGCAGGCACTTTCGTATGACCTATACTTGCAACATTATGCCCGTAACTCCGCATACGTCCCTATGACATTGATTTCTACTGCAAGCCCCAAGCTCCAGACTCTAGTGCCTTTGAATCCTGCCCCCATGGCCGAAGTCTTCAAATCTTGGGGCTTTGGCTGCCAAGCAGCATGGAGACTCCTGAGTTCCATTCCTACAAAGCCAACCCTTGCAACTCATGAACGTATAACGGCTCGCACATCGTAGTTTGCGACAGGACCTGCATGCTTGTCGCAGTAACAAACTCTTGGTATCCAGGACAAATCTCCAAAGAGGCAGCCCTAATCCGTTCGAAGCTGCGACCCTAAACCCTAAACCATACAAACCCTGTCCCCTTCATGTCCTTCACATGCGCGCTCGCGGCGTGTAGGAACCAGCCTCGCCGTCCGGAAGGATGCTCGAACAGCACATATAGAGCTTCGGCATCAGCAAAGGTTTGGGGTTCGGGTTTAGGGATTAGGGTTGCCGGGAAAGGCTTCCAGGAGGAAGGTTTAGACTTTAAGCACCTTGGGTTTATGGCATCTTTGATTGGTTTGACGGTTGAAGGAGACCGGAGTTTTCTGGAGATTTTATATCTCGGCTCTCTCTACAGCCTCTATCAAGCCCAGTTGGGGGGGTGTCAAAAATTGGGAAAGACAAAGGCCCCTAGAGATTTTGGGGATCACATATGCACTACGAGGCTGCTCTTCCAGGATAGCTTTGATAGGCTAACATACACACATGTATACCCTGCAGCCCCTGAATCCTAAAGCCTAAACACCAAATAACACTAAGTAATTACTCTCCTACACCCACGACTGCTTCATCCCGATGTGTTCCCATCTGTTTGCCATATATTCTTCAAAAACCCTAGAAACCGGAAAAAGGAAACCCTCAACTCTACAAATCCAAAAAAAGCCTCAAATCCTAGAAAACAAGCCGCCTTGGAGATGCTTTTTGACTTGATCGTCGAAGGTGAGGATGCCCTGACCTTCCACCAGGCGCCTCAGACAATTCAAGGGGATATATAGGGCTATACAGGGATATATAGGGTTTACGGCTTTGAGTTTAGGACGCTTTCGGGCTTAGGGGCTTACGGAGTTTAGTGCAGCTACTTGAGCAGCAGGTATGCTGAGTGCTCAACAGATGACCGTACCGGGCCGCTGAGCAAGAACGCGAAACCGCCAAGAAACGAACTGTGGCTGTCATTCATCTGTGCTACGTATGAGCCTCGACTAAGTGGCGCCAAGTCACAGTATGTTCGACCGGTCTGCCTTTGGGCAGGAAATGTGAATGCCCAAGGGCTTGAGGTTCTTGCCCCGAGCGCTAGTCTTTCGTACTCTACATCTAGCGGCCTGAGGCACAATAATTCCAAACCGGAAAGCAAAGACGATTCCGGCCGATTTTGTACATCTACATGAATCACCATTGGGGATGACATGGGGAAGGTCGTGACGTGACAATTTGCCCAGGTTTTTGGCTTGTTCATATTCGTAAAGCAACGTCTCCAGACCTGGGATGGAGTTCAGACAGGATTGGGGGGTTTAGGTCTGGAGGCTGGCGATCTAGTTTTTGGAAACCATTTTTCTCCGAGCACAGCTGCGGTTGAACCGGATAAGCCTGTGAGGGCGGAGGAGAACTGACAATTTCTCATGCTTGTAGTTGATGCAACTTAGCCTATGCAGGCCATGAATGCATCAAGAAAGGACCACGGGTGAGCACTGCCAAGTATAGTGAAACCTCTTCTGTGACTCCAGCGTTCTCTGTGACGAAACCTCCATGTTCCGTCTTAGTCTCCCAGGAAGCCTCAAGTACAGCATCAACCTAAATCACCAGAAAAGATTTCGGAGTACATGCTACTGCAATACATGATTTACAAATTATAAAGATCCTCCCTTTCAAGCTGCTACATGAGGGTATGGCCTCTAAAGGATCCCAAGGCCTCCATTGCAACAGCGAGCTTTGGGGAAAGTTGTCAGAATCTGATACTAATGGTACTAGGGTTCAAGCATCTAATTGTAATGGTAACAGATTCGGGAATGTATGACTGAGGTAGGTAAGGTTGAGGATGTTTAGGAAAGTTGCGCTCTAAAATGTCCCGCCCAAAGCCTGCCTCGACACTGGCGCGCGCCGTCGTAATCGATGCCTCCGCCGAGACACCAGTTTAGGATTTAAGTTGACGGTGCAAGGCTGGAAAGCGTTGAGGGTTTAGAAAGGATTGAGGGCTTGGAACTTAGGCTTAAAAGAATTTAGAGACTGCAGCTTCGAGTGGAAGAGCAACAGGAGATAACGGGCAGAATAAGCATGGCTCAGGCCTTGATATGTATGTGATGCAATGCCAATGTAATCCCCTCCCCCTAATGATTTTTCCCCCGCCCCCCCCCCCCTCCCAAATAATACATATTCCCGTGGAATTATAATGGTAATTACCATATCTGGGTGTGTTATGAGGGGCGGGGGGGGGGTGACTCCTACCAATAGAAGTTCTAAAGAGGACACAGCTTGGTTATGACTTGAATACTTCCTAACCCAGGCTTGGGTAGATCTTCCTTCCCGGAACACGAAAAAAATCCTAGCCCTTCCTGCCAAAAGCAAAATTTAGGGTTTAGGGTTTTAAGGTTTTAGGTGGGTTGACCTGGGCTGACCCCGTCAGAACACGCAGGTGGCTTGACCTTTGCAGGGCAAGCAGTTGGGCTTCCCACAGCACCCCCCCCATGTGGGGCCATTTTGTCTTGCTTTTCAGGGACTCCAAAAGCCGAACGTCAGGAACATTCCAGAATGCCTTCTAGGGCCAGTTCATTCTGGAAGCTTCTGCAGGCACCGAAAGACCTGGAACAACAAAAAACATCAAAGCTAAATCGCAAGGGTCCAACTGCAAAACTAGATACCTTCCTAGATCCGAAACCATGGAAAAAATTGCAACAAATTTTGGGAAGCTTGTACTTGTGAAGGAAGCCTGAAGACCAGGCAACCGGCTGAAATGTCTAAGTGCCCAAAGATGGGATCCTTTGCACCTCAAGCACAGCGAGCCTCCCGGAGGGTTTTGTAGATGACCTGTAGGCCATTGCCATTGATGACACTCATGGTCCAGCGCTCCTCTTCCTTGAGGTCAGGGCTTGCGCTGCCGGTTGTAGCGTTTTAGAATGCAAGGGTTTGTGGATTTGGGGCTTGAGGTTTAGGGTTTACGACCTTGGGCCCTTTCAGGGGTCTTCTGGGCCGTCTACGGTCCCCAGTTCTAAATGATGAGTGGTCTCTGGTAGAGCACGCTTCATAGCCATAAGTGGAGAAAACCCATGGCTGTCCTCTACGCGACGCCATAATTACTGTTCTTCTTGAAACCTTGCAAACCTAGGGTATACCAACAGTTGGACCATGGAGCACATGAACTCCAAACATCGATGCGCGAAGCCCCGGAAAAGCTCTTTCAAAAACCACTGTGCCCAGAATCCTCAACAGCACCGCGTACCTGCATCCGATACACGTCTCAGCACCTGAGTTTACACCCCTACGCCCTGAATGAACCTTGACAGGAACTTCAAGACCCGGAGCCTGAGTCGCAAAGCCAGCCCAGCAAGCGGAATTCTTAGCCCTAAGCTCCCTGTACCCCCTGCTGTCCTCCGGGGGCATGAGGATGGTAAGCTCGCAGTCCTCACCCAGCTGGATGGCAGTGTGCATCTCAAGCATGCCTCGGCTAAGCCACTAAGGGCTTATAGGGTTCAGGGCTTAGGGTTTAGGGGGATTTAGATTCGGGGTTTCGGGGGGTCTAGGATTGGGTTTTGCGGCATTCAGGTTTCAGGATTTAGGGTGATGGGCTGAGGGTGAAGCATTTAGGGGTCCCGGAGCCCTTAGAACGATTGGCCGGGGCAATAAGGATCCTCATCTGCTGGGTGTATGTAAAATGCAGACTGGACTCTAGCCATGGCTCCCCCAAATCAGAATACTCCCTGGAAATTTCACAGCCCACAACCTGCTGCCCAAACCTTTCACTCTTCCCCTCAGCCCTAGACTAAAGACCGGAAGCTGTAAACTTTGAAGCCGAAACACACCATGATCGCTGCAAGTAGGCTGGTGAGTGCCTGGGAAGTGGCATTCCTTCATTCCCTGATCAAACATGGTTCAAGGTTAAGTCTTCGAGGGTTTATAGGGTGAAGAAGGCTTTAGGCTTAGGGGTTGGGGCGTAGGGTTGGGAAGGTTTCTCAAAATGACCTCTGCATCTCCATGCGGACCCCATAATCCCATGCTTGAAAGAGGCGCTGGAGGAAATGTTTTAAGTCTCTGGTTTCGGGCCCGGGGTAAAAGGGGGAGCCGCAGGGTTCGAAGCAACATGCAGAAATTGCATACAGCCCAGCACAACGTTGGCAAAGCAAAGGATTTGAGTGACGAGAAATAGACCGGCCTTTAGAACGGGAGTACCTCTTGGATGGAAGGCAATAGGTGTCCGATTTCAGGATTGCATAGGGGTTATCATGACAACTCTTTTCATGTTTTTTTGTTGTTAGCTTCCATGATCTTCCTAGGAACTTGTTCAGGTGCTCGAGTGCATCAGCTCAAGCCGCAGCATGAGCACTAAAATGGTTGAGGAGGGTGAGATGGTCTGCCTACGCATGGGCCCGAGATAACCCCAAGCCTCAACATCAGGACCGCATGACCGTGATATGACTGCCGTGAGGTCAACGTCTCGAGGCTAACCTGACACCTGAAACTTTGTGATTGGAAGCTCTGATGGCTTCTCTCCAGAAAGTAATGCTAGACAGGTTGGCCTGTAGCCCGACTGATTCATGGAGCAAACAGTAGCGTGTGGGATGAATTAACCCCATTTACAAATGACGAGTACCATTCCTACAACACAACCTGCCAACTCCTCTAACCTAACACGCTACGCTTCCCCACAAGTGCCCTACGAAAGCCTACGGACATTGGGAAAGTGCCTATAGACCTAGGACACTGGAATCCAGCAAAGCCCTAAACCCCACACCGAGCTCTTGCACCCAAGAACACTTCAACCCCAAACCGTAAGACATTCTCGAATCCCAGGAGCCAGGGCATCATCAGCGCCAGAACGCGGCCGATGCTGCGAACACGCCCCTGGGCGGAAGGTGTGGGGGCTAAACCGCAGTTTGGCGTTGGGAGTGTAGGGCTTAGGGTGTGCGGGTCAGAGGGTGTAGGGCAAGGCTTCAGAGAGTTGTGCTAGTAGGGATAATTAGTAGGTTTGTAGATGGAATAGTGTAGCCATGCGTTGCTTCATTCTGTACTAGCAAGAAGCAATCCAACCATAGTTGATCGCAGTAAACCAGGATGGGCTACAACTAGAAGCGAATCACGGGAAGTTTCCTAGAGGACCCCTGAATATGCCAGACGCTCTAGGAAGGACCTCTAGCAGGCAATCATAATGGAACCCTGGGATTTCTTGAAGGTCCTGTTGGATCTGGGGACCCCTGGGAATCTACCTGAAATCACTATACAAGCTATGAGAGTATGGTTCCTATGTTGAAAGGGGAAGCAGTCCATGTCTGCCCCAGAACTGGTTGCAGCAAGCACAAGACATCTCTGACCTAACAGCACATCCTCCTCAAAATGCTGCTGTTGCCATGTGATCTTGGTACTTGCAACTGCCGAACCAAAGCCATCAGAGGTATAATGCGTTCAGATTCGAAGCAACCCTCAACCTCGTAGTCCACGTCCTTCAGTACGGTCTCCAAATCTGGCAAGGCGGGCCTCAAACACCCGCTTGAACTCCTCGAAGGGCACGTCCTCGTAGCCGCCCGACATGATTTTGGGCTCAGCGTCTATTCATCCTCCTTATTCCATCTACCCTGTAGAGCTATGGGAGTTTGACTTCCTTGAAGACCCGAGCACGACAAGTGTTCTCTTGTTGTCTGTGAATTTAGGCTTTAGGGTGATATAGACAACATAAGCAAACTTACATGTATAATTGTGTGTATGTGTGCAACTGCACATGTGAAAAATGTTACGCCAAACTGAACTAAAATGCACATTTCGAACGTGCAGGACAATGGTCTCTCGTCCGTGCCTGTCCGGAGCGAACGGCCTGCCGGACCCAGTGCTGATTGACACAGACGCAGCACATCCAAACCTGATGCCAATGGGTTTACTGCGAGATAAAGGGATGTAAAAAAGAACGTAGGGTTATGTGGAGGCATGTAAGAGGCTAGAGGTAGAGGGTTATGTCTGGATATCTAGGATTTGGGCTTAAAGCTCGCAGTTAGGGACCAACAAAAAATTTGCGAGCGTCCATATGTGGGAGTCCAGTGAGAGTGCTTGTCTCGATTCTTGTCAAGTATGTGTCCCATTAGAACGCACATTTCCAGATGTGGGCTTGTTAATGGCTTGTTGACCCACACATGACTTTACTTACCATAGGTCCACCCGCCCCTTCACCGCCTGCACTAAACCCTCAAATGTGGCCCGAGAAGGAACACCTGAGCCCTAAACCCAACACTACATCCCAGCTCTTATACCTGCACCCTGAACCTTCAACAGAATCCTCTAGAACCTCCAACCATGTAATCCCAAACCTTACTCTGCTATCTAGACACGTAGACCCGCTTTGGGTCCAAGCTTGGCTTGGCTGAGCCACACCTGGGTAGGGGCCCCAAAGAAGAAGAACTACCACATCATTTGCAGGATTCAGGGTGTAAGGTTCACGGTTTAGGGTTAAGGAAGTACATGTATAATGGGATGATATGGGGATTGGTTTCATAGGGTTGTATAGGGACAATACCCCCGCAATGGAGAATCAAATGGAAAAGCAAATGGACAATGACATGGAACATGAAATTCAAACAGGCATTGTATGATGCTTTGGGGTAAATAACACATTGTATAAGAAGTATATAAGGATAATATACTGACACATGAGTCACAGGAGGGTTGAAGGCTAGGGGCCGAACTAATTTGAATGTTGAAATCACATGTGACCTCGAATGGAACATGACATGGAAACTGGGTTCCTACACGGGGGTTTCTAAGGATTGTGTAAGAAAGACATTCTACAATAAGTACATCTACAGCATGGCAAAAAGGGCTTGCTCAGGGCCTGATACAGGAGGGGAGTTCGGGTATACACACAGCGCAGGCGCTCCCCACAAGTTCATGGATAAGTATACAGGCGTATGAGCACACCAGGAGAGATTATCACTTGTTGGCTATAGGTACTATGGCTATCAGGGTTATTTAGGATTGAAGGCTTCTTGACATATGTTCTGGTACTTAATCAGGATCCCATAGTTGGCAGATAGGAGTGGCCTGGTAAACTGCTGTTGCGAAACCTACGCATTGAAGTTTACCCAGAAACCCCAATAGCCCCACACCTAAGGGTCTAGGTACTCAATAATTACGGGGCTTTAGGTACCAAAAGCATTGAGCAGGTATTTGGTACACGAAGGCCTAAAGATTTGGAATATTTGGGTAGCCTCACCACATACATCACCTTAGACCCCAGACCCTGAACGCCCATCCATGTGCCAGGCACCATTTCATCAGGGTATCTGCGATGTCCCCGATCCTGCTCTAGGTAGTTGGCCGAGCTTCAAGTCAAGGCTCCCCAGATGGTTTAGGGATTAGGGCTTATGGTTTAGGGTTTA